CCCCCCCCCCCCCTCTTGCCAGGCTTGGCCCGGGAGGTAGGGAACACTGGACCAGCCTAGTCCCAGCCCCCACCTCTCCACACACCTCGCCCCATAGCCTGAGAGGAGCTCTCGGAGCCTGGGGTTCTGCTTCAGGAAGTCAGGTTTCACCCAGGGGTCCCTCCAATGTGGGGGCAGAGAACACTTAGCTCTTGAAAATTAAGTGGGACCTGGCCCTGTCGGCCCCTCCCCGTGACGTGGGCCCCGCCCACCGTTCTCTCCGCCTGGCCCTGCGGAGTCAGAGCACCGAGTTCTAGGCGGGCATTGCTGACTCCCAGCCAGCCGGCTGCACAGCCTGTCCCGAGGGAACAAAGGTGCCGACCCAGAGGTAGGAGAGCCGCAGGGGCAGCCCCGGGAGCCTCCCCAGCACCCCCAGTCTGGGGCTGGGCCGAGGAGGTCAGCTTTGGGAGCTGATTCCTAGGCAGGCTGGCTGACCTGAGGCGGGGCAGGTGCTCAGATCATTAACTCCTGGAGCAGGCAGGGCGGTCGCTGCCAGTGGGGAGTTCCCAGGGCCCCTGCTTCTCACCCTCTCCCCGCCTTCTCCGCAGACGCCCTGCTGGAGGACTTGGAGTCCACCACCTCCCACATCTCCAAACGGCCCGTGTTCTTGTCGGAGGAGACTCCCTACTCCTACCCAACTGGAAACCACACGTACCAGGAGATTGCGGTGCCGCCCCCGGTCCCTCCACCCCCGTCCAGCGAGGCCCTCAATGGCGCGCTCCTTGACCCCTTAGACCAGTGGCAGACCAGCGCCCCCCGATTCATCCACCAGCAGGTGAGGGGGCCAGGGCGGAAGCTCCCAGAGGCTTTGGGGCTAAAGGAGCGTGTCTGGCAGCGGCCTGGGAGCCAAGGGAGGAACGGGCTCCGGGGAAGGGGAGAGGGGCGGTGACCCAGTGTTACTCACCTGTCTCCAGCCGGAGCATGGAAATTCCCTGGTGAGACGGGCTGTGAGCAGCAGCCTCCTGGGGGTGACTCGGTCTGTTCCTTTTCCTCCCCGGAGGCTCTGAGCATTCTCCTTCCCGCAGCCCCAGCCCCTGCTGCCCGCCTACGGCTCCAGTGCCAAACCGTGCAGCGCCTCCACCCCCCAGGACGGCCTGGGCCCTCCGTGCGCTCGGGCCGGTGAGGAAGAGCACGTCTACAGGTACGGCCCAGCCCTGCTGCTCACCGCCCCTCCTGCTTGGGAATCCTGGGACCGGCCAGGCCTGGAGGCAGCCGAGGCCAGGGATGAGGCCTGGCCAGGGCCCGTGAGGCTTCTGCCTTGGGTCATTGGGCCAAATCACAGAAGGCCCGAAGCCCCCAGCCAGCTCATGGTGCCTCCTGATGGCTGGTGGCCTGATCAGGGCCATCTCCATTCTCCATGCTAAGCCCGCGGCCACGTCACGTCACCCGTGTCACTGAGGAGCGGAGAGGCAGGCCTTCCTCCCTCCCCTCTTCTTACCACACCCCTCCCCACTCTCAGTCCTCTGCTGTGGGAGACCTCGTCCCCCGCTGCCTATTCTCCGGGAGAATCGGGGATGGCCAAAGCTGGGAGTGTCTCTCAATGTGGTCTTCCCTTTGTCTCTCAAAGCTTCCCCAACAAGCAGAAGTCGTCTGAGCCTTCACCCACCGTGATGAGCTCCTCTCTGGGCAGCAACCTTTCGGAACTGGACCGCCTGCTGCTGGAGCTGAACGCTGTGCAGCACGGCCCCTCGGGCTTCCCCGCAGGTGGGGCTGGGCCCCTGGGCAGGCCTGCCTCATCCCGAGAGGGCTCAGGGCTGAGCAGTCTTTCTCTCTCCCTCTCCCAAGATGAGGCCAACTCGAGCCCCCCGCTGCCTCGGGCTCTGAGCCCTCACTATGGCGCCCCGGAGAATAACAGCCTGCTGGCGGGCAGCACCGGGCCCCAGATGAAAGAGAAGCCCAAGCGGAACGGGGCCCGGGGCCTGGAGGACGTGCGGCCCAGCGTGGAGAGTCTCCTGGACGAGCTGGAGAGCTCCGTGCCCAGCCCCGTGTGAGTGCCCCAGGCTCGCCAGGGAGGCTCGCTCATCAGTGCCCGTGCTCCATGCCTGCCCACGTAGCCCCATGTCACCTGTTCCCTCCATGAGAGCCTGTGGTCTGCCAGGCCCTGCACCAGGCTCTGGGGGGATAGTGACGAGTCACACGGACACCATTTCTGCCTTCCTCGAGCCACCATCCATCGGAAAGGATGGACATCACGCATGCTGAGGGCCCCTGTAGCTTAGTGGCCGTCAGCACAGGTTTTGGAGCCACATAATGGGGTTCAGACCTTGGCTCTGCCCTTAAGAAGTGTTTCGAGCCTTAGTGTTTCCACCTGTAAAATGGGACTAGGGGGTGTGGATAATGGGGATAGGGCCGCCTGCCTCCATGGAGTCGACCCAATCGTACATGTAAAGCCCGTGGAGTGGTTTCTGGCTCATAGCAGGTGATGTACATGGTGAGTGCTTTCTAAGTGTTCGCTCTTCTCGCACATGTACATGCAGTGCTACACGGCTTGGGCTGATGTCACGGGCTTGGGGGAAGGAGCTTGAACTTGGGCTGGAGGACTAGAGGCGTCTTCCTGGGAAAGTTGCTGTTGAGCGGCCCTCCCTTCTCCCATGTCATCAGCGCACCTCAGCTCTGTCCCCCTGGCCCAGTGGTCAGCAAACTGCAGCTCACGAGCCACATGCGGCTCTTTGGCCCCTTGAGTGTGGCTCTTCCACAAAATACCGACTTCTGCGTATGGGCCACGAAGTTTCAATCACACTGTATGTGCGCGCCTGCACGTGGTATTTTGTGGAAGAGCCACACTCAAGGGGCCAGAGAGCCGCATGTGGCTCGCGAGCAGCGGTTTGCCGACCACGGCCCTGGCCGACAGTAGCCTCCTTCCCCAGAAGAGATCGGGAGCTAGTGGGCTTCCCTGGGGTTGGGGGGTGGGACCCCAATGTCAGAGCTGACATGTTGATCTCCTGAGGAGGGCCGCGCGGGGGCAGCCTGGGGCTGGGCTTGGGGCTCCCTCTGACTCGTGCCTGCCTGCAGCCCCGCCATCACTGTGAGCCATGGCGAGATGAGCAGCCCCCAGCGCGTCACCTCCAGCCAGCAGCAGACACGGATCTCGGCCTCCTCTGCCACCAGGGAGCTGGACGAGCTGATGGCCTCCCTGTCGGATTTTAAGGTGCCCGAAGCCCCTTCTTCCCTGCCCGTGTCTCCCATCCTTCTCTTTCCATACCTCAGTGTGAGTAGCTGGAACTCGGCCCCTCCGTTTGGGTGCCTCGCCCTGAGCCAGGGGCCCCACAGTGCCCTGGCCTGGCCAGGATGTGGGGGAGGGCGGGCTCAGCCAGGCGGTGGGCACTGAGCTGCCTCGCAGCCTGTGAAGGCCGAGACATTCCTTCCTCCCGGGACGAGGAGGTAAAACAAAGGGCCCTGTGTCGATGCTGCTCTTGGTGGGGGAGGGCCTTCTCCGCTGGCCACGGGGCCTCGCGAGCTTGTGCCTGAGCGGTCATTGCCCGGAGCTCATCTCCCACGCTGGCGTCCTCAGCACGTCCTCTTTCTTCCTGCCTCTGGCTTCTGAACCCAAGGCCTCCTTTGCCAGCCTCCCGTCCTGCCCCGCTTTCTCCACGGGCCTCTGAATCCCTCAAGTTCTCTGTGGGAAACCTAATGTCGGGCAACTGGGCCAGTCCACACGCGGCCCCTTCCTCCCCTCCGAGCGCCCCCCGCCTGCCAGGCCAGGTGTTTTATCGAAAGATGCGGTGCCTTGGGGGCTGATATTGACCAAACTCTCCTGCAATTGCTGAGAACACCTTTCCATGCGGGCCGAACTTTGGCGTCTGACTTGGGGAATCTGAGAAGGGGAGCAAGTGGTCCATGCGCTCTTGGCCCTGATGGTGCCTCCAAACCTCCCTTCGCTGGGGTTTTTGGTGGGAGATGCGAGTGGGACTTGGGCGGGGGGACGAGCTACAGGCCGTTCTGAGCAGCCAAAGCCAGGCGCAAGTCTGCTGGACCAGGCATTGGCCTGAGGAAGCCCTGCTCCAGCGCCCTTTCGAATGTGGCTTTCTGAGAGCCAGCATCGTGGTGCCCGTGGGAAGCTGAGCTGGTTCTAGCTGCGCGCCTAGAGCAAGGTCTCGGGGATGTAGGGAAGATGGGTTTGTCTGGGAGAAACCAAGCCGAGAATCTGGTTGGTCTCTGGTTTGGAGGCACCAGAGCAGCTGCCTGTGGCTGACTGTCCCTTGATGGTGCCTGGACTGACCTCCCTGGTCACTCTCTCCAATGGCCACCGCACTGAGCCTTCTCTCCCTCGTGCCTACCCTGTTTGGGGTGGCTCCCAGGCTTTGCTCAGAGGCGTGCCCTGCTGCCTGGGTTTGATGGGGCCAAGGACACGTTGCCCAGGAACACCGTGTTGGGTGTCGGGGTCTCCTGAGAGGCCCAGTCCTCATACGTCAGCTCTGCGGCCACCCCGCCAGTATAGACGGTGGCTCTCAGAGCTAATGTCGAGCCCACCCCTTGCAGGGAGCGTCCTTCCTCACCTCTCCTGTTTCTCTCTCTTCTTCCCTCTGCCTTTTGTCTTTCTCCTCCTCCAGACCAGCTCCTCTGCTGTGGCCTTGAACTCCCTGGGGCTGCCGCCCAGCTCAGCTCCATCCTCACACCACATACGTCCTTCTCCTCCTTCTCCTCCTCCTCCTCCTCTTCCTCCTCCCGGGCCCTCTATACTCTTGCCATCCACTATTAAACCCTCCGCTGGAGGCCACGGTCTCACCACAGAGGCCCTCTGCTGTGAGGATGATGAGGAAGGGCAGGGCCTCTTACCTCCTGTGGCCCCCAGCTGGCTTGATTTGGCTGGCCTCGGGGTGACACCTGACACCCCCAACTCAAGGTCTCCCTCTGCGGAGGGCTCTCTGGGGCCATTTGGTGCAGAGAGCCAGGCTCGAGGCTGGAGGGACGCACTAAACCTCAAGAGTGAGCTCTCCAGGGCTCCCCCAGGCCACACGCAACCCCAAGCTGGGTGTGCAGGTCCCCAGGAGCCTGGAGACCCCCAAGGGCTGTCAGCCAGCCCTGCGTACCCAGAGGAGGCCTTGGCTGCCACGTGGGAGCAGCCGTGGGCTTTGGAGGCGCTCAGGCCAGAGACTCCCCACAGAGCTACGCCCAGCTTCCAGGAAGTAACGGAGCCAGCTGTCGTGGCCATAGACCGTCAGGTCATCTTCCCAGATACCTGGAGTCCCACGAAGGAACGTGGACAGCTGCAGGAGGGGACCAGGCCAGAGCTCGCGGGGCCAGAGGGCAGCCGCCCGGCTCCTGTGAACCAGGAGCAGTTGGGTGGAGAGATGCCCATGCGGCGAAGCCCGATCCGGCCAACCCAGGGACCCGAGACAGCCCGGAGGCCAGCGGGCACCACGGAAGCTGCTGCCGAGGCCGAGAGGGCACAGCCGGAGCTTCCACAGGCCATGGTCATGGACACGCCCACCACCGAGAGGATTTCCACCTCTGGCCAGGCAGGCGCGAGCTTGCACGGCGGCTGGGCCTGGTCCTCGCGGCCTGAGTGGGCCGCTCTGGCTAACTGCATGCCGCCTCCCACTGCGCATGTCTGCTTGGGCAGCGAGTCCTGAGCTAGCGTGGCCTGTGACCTGTGGGGCCAGTGCAGCTCCCGGCCTGGGAATCACTTTGAGTGACAACCCGCTTCTTGCTTGTTTAAGGCCTTTTCCTTTCGATGAACTCCCCTGACATCCGGAGGTGACATCGGATGTTCGCGAAATGGTTGAGAGCATGAGCTTTGGGACCAGATAGAACTGAATACAAACCCTGCCTCCAGCGCTCGCTACCTCTGTGACCTTGGGCAACCTCCCGCCAGCCTCAGTTTCTCATCTTTGAAATGGGGGTAAAGGTAGACCTTTCCCCGCAAGGTTGTCCAGAGGATTCCGTGAACTCACGCCTGGAGGCGCTCAGAGCGCAGCACGTGCCTCAGTGAGCATGGCTGCTGTCACTGCTTCTTGCTTTATAGAAACAAAACAAAACAAAACAAAAAACCAAAGCCACTACAAACCAGTAGGTTATAATATAAACAAAAAATTTGGTTAGAAGATTTGGAAGGAATGACTACATTTTTTATTACAAATTTTTAAAAAGAAAGAAAAAGCCTTCTGTCTTTTTAAGAGTCCTCACTTACATGCTCTCAAATAAATAATCCTCATAGTAATAATAACCCTCTAAGGCAGCCAGGAAAGTACGAACCCATTTCAAGGACGGAGGAGCCGAGGCCCCTGGAAGTGAAGTGTCTTGCCCAAGGTCAGAGCTGAAACCTGCCTCCGCCCCGCCTCAGCTCTTTGGCCGTTTTGTTGAGCCCTCCCTTGCCCGGGCACCCGAGTGTGGACTGAGCAGCGTTGGCAGAGCCAGAGTGGGGCTGTGACAGCTTCCCCTCCCCCCTCAGATCCGCTCCGTGATCAGGAGGAGCCGGGAGACAGGCCACGCGCACCCCATGTCCCGGGAGCCCTCCCCTCGCCGCCGGCTGGACCCCGCCACCATGAGCAGGACCCCATCCCAGGAGCGGCTCATCGCAGAGCTGCAGGGGCGGCTGGGCATCCAGCCGGAGGCAGAGGCGGCGGCGGCGGCGGGGGCGGCGGGGGCCTCCACCGAGGACTGGATGACGGAGGGCGTCGTCATCACTGTGCAGCCTCGAGGGAGGCGGGCTGAGGGGCAGCTGGTAGAGAAGGTAGCAGGGAGATGCCCAGGCTCGGCCAGGACCAGGGCTGCGGGCATCCTGGCCAGAGGGGAGCTTGGCGTGTGGGGGTCCTGCATCCTGTGGCCCGGGAGAGACGGGGCAGAGTGGGGAGGCCCGGGAGCTGGGGACGTGGCTTCTGGTGCCCTTGCTGGCTGGGCTGGTGCTTCCTCGCCTTCCTCATCGCTCTCCTTCCTCTCTTCTCCCCAGGTGGTTTTCCCTCCTGGCTCTCCTGTCCCCCTGAGAAGAACCTTCTCTGTTCTGCCTTCTCCTCCTGTCCCTTTCCTCCAGCATCACAGAGAGGCCGCGGCCAGCAGCCCTTCTCCCCCGCCCAGCCTGCCTGCCCCCTCCACCCTGGGGCCCTCAGTTCTTCCCTGTGGGTCCCCTGGGGCCCGGAGTGCTGGGCCAGGGCCGGAGGAGGATGTGCAGGGGCCCACCTCGCCCCTTCCTGCACCCCCCACTGTGAGGTCCGTGGGCTGCCAGACGGACGAGGACCCGATGTTCCCCCCGATGCAGGCAGGCCCTGGGCCCCAGCATGAACCCTACCTGTCCCCCTGCACACACACACACCTGGTCTCTGTCCATAAGCCCAGCAGGACTGTGTCCTTCCTGAGACCTGGCCTTGACCCTGGACCTCATTTAACCTGACATCCACACTCCGGCCCCAGCATGTCAGCTGTCCTCTTGCCTGCCTGTGGGCTCCCTTCTGCCTGCCCCTCCCACTGCCCCTCCATCCTGTCCCAGCTCCACCGAGAAAGCCAGGCCCAGAAGAGACCCCAGCCCGTCCCTCCCCTGCAGCCCAGGCCCAGCATGTGGGAAGCTTCTGCTCTCGGGCCTCGGGCCCCTCCCCCCCGGGACCCTGCCTGTGGTTGGCTCACCTTCCCTTCTCTCTCCTCGCCCTGGGATGCTCTAGACTTTCTGTAGACCTTTCCTCCTGATCTTGGTACTGCCAGTGGGGAGAAAAGCCCTCTCACCCTAAATTCCCTTTGTGAAATGGTCCAACAACAGGGTCTCTTTTTGTTTCTTCCTTAATTGGAACTTTTTTTTTCTTATCCTCGTTTTCTCCCCTATTTAAGATCCAGGGCCTGGAACAAAGAGCAGAGGGAGAGCTGTGCTGGGCGGCTGGCTGGCCTCCGAGTGGCAGGCAGAGCAGCCCCGAAGGGCAGGACGAGGGAGGGGTCAGTGCCAAGGCTGGGCTCGGTGTCCTGCGTGCCGTGTTTCCCGTGTTTCCCGGGTCAGGCCAGTGCGGTGCCAGGCGTCCCTGACACCAGGAAGTCTTGCGATGTCACTCCCACCTGAAGGGCTCGTGAGGCCCCTGGAGGAGGTTGCACTTCTTGCCTCCATCGGCCCAGGTTCAGGAGGGAGAAAAGCCCCAACCCTGACCTGCCCCTCTCTCTCCACAGTTCATGGCCCAGGGGAAGACAGGGAGCAGCTCTCCGCCCGGGGAGCCCCCAAAGCCCGGGAGCCAGCTGGACAGCATGCTGGGGAGCCTGCAGTCCGACCTGAACAAACTGGGGGTTGCCACAGTCGCCAAGGGAGTCTGCGGGGCCTGCAAGAAGCCCATCGCCGGGCAGGTGATGAGGGGTGGGGGGTGGGGAGAGCGGCAGGTGGGCACAGGGACCTGGCTCCTCAGAAGGGGGCTCCGTGGCAGGCCAGGGCCTTGACCCACAGCCTGCCTCCCTCTTCAGGTGGTGACGGCCATGGGGAGGACGTGGCACCCCGAGCACTTCGTCTGCACCCACTGCCAGGAGGAGATCGGGTCCCGCAACTTCTTTGAGCGGGACGGGCAGCCCTACTGTGAAAAGGACTACCACACCCTCTTCTCCCCGCGCTGCTACTACTGCAACGGCCCCATCCTGGATGTGAGTTCCGGGCACGGCGGGGCGGGCAGCGCTGGCTCGTCACCCTCTGAGGGGCAGGGTGTGCCCTCTGAGGCTCGGAGGTTCTGTCACAGGCCCGAGCTCACAGCTGGGATTCAGACCCAGGCCTGATGCACTGGCACCGTCCTAGTGCCCGCGGCTTCCCACCTCCATCCCAGAACCCTCTGCGGAGACTCGAGGTGCGGCGGGAGGTGCCGGCTCCCTCTCCCCCCGTGTGACGTCAGGGAAACGCCTGGCCTCTGAGCCCAAGTCTCTTCCTGTGAAATGGGAGTCCCAGTCCCAGTAGAACCTGTGACCTCAGCCGCACTGAGGATCCAAGGAGAGGGTCTGGCATGTCACCTCCTTCAGGCCATCAGAATCCTCGTGGTGCTCAGAGCACAGTGAGGGGAGACCCCATCCTGGCAGCCTCTGCGCTGCCCTGGGCCGGGGCCGGGCCGGGTGGAAGGACAGCTCTCGGCGGGGGGACCTGTCCCGTGGGCGCAGCTCGGCTCTGACCCCGCACTCGCTTTCACAGAAAGTGGTCACAGCCCTCGACCGGACGTGGCACCCCGAGCACTTCTTCTGTGCCCAGTGCGGCGCCTTCTTCGGGCCTGAAGGTACGGCAGCAGGCTCACTGGCCGCCCCGGGAGCGCCGGGGAGGGGGCTTTGCTGATGTTGGAGTCAGGGCTCCACCTCTGGAGGCCCTCACTCTGCCCCACAAAACCCGCTCCGCAGGGTTCCACGAGAAAGATGGCAAAGCCTATTGCCGGAAGGATTACTTCGACATGTTCGCGCCCAAGTGTGGCGGCTGCGCCCGGGCCATCCTGGAGAACTACATCTCGGCCCTCAACACCCTCTGGCACCCCGAGTGCTTCGTGTGCCGGGTAAGGAGCCCCCTGCGCCCGCTTCTGCGGGGCACCGACCCGGCTGGTGTGGCTCAGTGGTTGAGCATTGACCTGTGAACCAGGAGGTCACGGTTCAATTCCTGGTCAGGGCACATGCCCAGGTTGTGGGCTCAGTCCCCAGTAGGGGGCGTGCAGGAGGCAGCGATCAGTGATTCTCTCATCATTGATGTTTCTGTCTCTCTCCCTCTCCCTTCCTCTTTGAAATCAATAAAAATATATTTAAAAAGGGGGGGGGGCACTGGGCAGCCAGGAGAGAAGGGCCTCCCTCACTGCACTCTGGATGCAACTTGGAGGCTTTGTTCGCGGTTATTCACCGGGTGAGCAGCAGGGGGACACTTCCTCAAGCCCAGTGGTCCTGGGCCGGGGCTTGTACTGAGGGGGGAGAAACCAGGAGCAAGCGCATGTGTCTCCAGCCTCGTCCTGTGTGGCGGCCCCTCCCGTTCGGGAGAAGGATTCATTCGAGAATGCAAGCTTTTCGCAGCTCCAAGGAATTGGCCGTTGGTTTTTAAGCTTTAATCTGGGGGGAGCCCATACCTGTTACTGGGGATCAGCAAGGGCCCTCCGACCAAATAAGTTTGGGAAACATTGTTCATTTCAGCGCCAGGGTTTCGGGGCACACAGCACAGCCTCCTGGGTAAGTGCCCAGGCGTCAGACCTGTGTTAACTCCAGGCCGTGCCACTTCGTGGTGGCATGACCTTGGGCAGGTCACTTAGCTCTCACGCCTCATCCCGTCTCTGTTGGGAATTCAGTTGCGTTTCGCACAGCACTTGGCACGTAGGAAATGCTCAGCCAGTGGGAGTGTGGTGACCCCGACTGTCTCCTGCCCATCGTCCCGGAGCGGCCTCAGCCCCCTGCCCCAGCTGAGCCCCCTTTCCTCTGCCTCACCCCCTCTTCCGCCCGGCAGGAATGCTTCACGCCGTTCATCAACGGCAGCTTCTTCGAGCACGACGGGCAGCCCTACTGCGAGGTGCACTACCACGAGCGGCGCGGCTCGCTGTGCTCCGGCTGCCAGAAGCCCATCACCGGCCGCTGCATCACCGCCATGGCCAAGAAGTTCCACCCGGAGCACTTCGTCTGTGCCTTCTGCCTCAAGCAGCTCAACAAGGGCACCTTCAAGGAGCAGAACGACAAGCCTTACTGTCAGAACTGCTTCCTCAAGCTCTTCTGCTAGGGTCCTCGTCCCTCCAGCTGCCCTGTCCCCTGGCCCAGCCTCCCCAACCGCTACTGTGACCCAGAGGCCTCGCCCAGGGCTGCAGGGCCAAGCCCGACTGAAACTGGAACCCGTGTCCTGGCTGTGCAGGGTGGCAAGAGGGCTCAAAGGGTGCCCCCTGCTTTTCATCCTCTGCCAGGGCCTCTGGGCCTCCCCCTCCTCCTGCAGCTGTCCCCAGGCTGCCAGCTCCTCGTCCTCCCTGGAGGGGGGCTGGGGGCCCCATCCCACGAACCCGCCTGGCCTGGCCAGCACCCCACACTGGAGCCATCTCTTACTCATTTCGGCAGTGGAGCAGGGGGCGGGCAGGCAGGGTCAGATGGGGTCTCTTTTTATCTTTATTTCCGTCCGACCAAATTATCCTTGTTCTGAGAATCCTGGGGGACACCGCTCCCTCCAGACAAAACCAGCATCAACCCATCCATCCGAGGGCCGCAGTGCCCAGGGGCCACGGAAGGTTCCTGGTGCTCCTCCTGCCCTTCCAGTCTCCCCAGGCCGGGACCACTGCCCTGCCCATCTCTGCTCTGATTCTACTGAGACAGACTCTCCAGCAATAATGTTTATAGTCACTTCCTCCGTCTCGGACGGTGGGAGGGGGGCGTTTCACCTCGAGCCTGGACACTGTGCCGACTTTGATAGATTTCTACACTGAGGTTTGAATTCCTATCATCGGAGTTGCTTTTACTTCTCTACACAAAATGATTTTGAAGAGATTTTAAAGACATCCCCTTTTGTATTCTCCTCCTTGTCCACGGCCACCGGTCCTGTGGGGCAGTGGCTGTGGGACAGGGTTCGCCTTGTACTGAGGGCTTGGGGTGGGGAAGCCATTTGTATTTTATTTTTTCTTAGCATAAGCAGGTGAAGTGGGAGCAGCTCTGAGACTCCCCTTCTTTCCTTCACGGCTCCCAGGACTGTTTTATAAACTGCTGTATTTTGAAATCCCTTCCTTACTACCCAGGCCAGCAAGCTCTTAACTGAAATGGCCTACGGGTGTCTCGCCTCTTTGGGCCTAGGATTCTGAACCTCATCCGTCCTGTTCCCTAGTGAGGAGAAGGGGAAAGGATGCTTTGGGGGTGCTGTTTCCTGTCTAAGCCATTAGGAGCATCCGCTCCCCTGTGAACTCTTTGGCACCCAAGAGAACCCCCGAACACTCGCCTCCTCTCTGCTTCTCTGGGCTCCTTCTGCCTCCTCAGGAAAGCTGGGATCTGGTTTTGACCGTTGGTCTTGTTGATTCCACTGGGCGCATCACTTCCCCAATCCCTGCCCTCCTTGGAAACGAGGTCTGGGGGAAGGGCCCGGCTGTTGCAAGGCAGTCTGGGCGGAGGGACGGATCCGCTGAAGCCATGGAAAGGCCCCAGAGCTTTGCTTTCTCCCCCAAGGATGACACAGGAGCAGGCAGGCCCGGGTTCCTGGCCAGCAGAGGGGGCCCCAGGGGGTCTACAGGGGGTGAGATCCTAGCAGAAGCTCAGCACGTTGGGGTTTCAGATGAGGGTCCCTCCTTCAAGGCAGGGCTGGGAGCAGCCAGGTCTGGGCAGGTCAAAGGTCGACGTCCCCACTTGCACCCATAGGCCTTATTGCTCTGTTTACAGTGACCCGCCCTAGACCCCACTCCTAGAGGGAAGGGTTTCTGGGGTCCATCCTCTGGGTCAATGGTTATTTGATGAATTGATTTTAATTTTTTTCTCTGTAAACTTTTAACCTGGCTTTTCCTCATTTCAATTCCTGTGATTTTTGCCAATAAAGTTTGCCATTATTTTGACCTGTGCTGGAGCGTTTTCTTTGTGGTCTGAGATAACAACTTAGTCCCAGGAGAGAGACCAAAGGACCACAAGGACCACAGTTTGAGGATAGATCATCCATGTTCCCTTACGTGAGGCAGAAAGCCCTGGGGGTGGGGCCCTTGCCCCACAGGACTCTGGTCCGTGAGCACTGGTCCTCCTGGCTTCCCATGTGAGCTTGGTTGGCCAGGGCAGGCTGGGGAGCAGCCTTATTGGGCCCTGCCTAGGTCAGGGCCTGCACTAAGTTTTGTCCTGGATTCCCCACGGGCATCCTCACGTGGGCCTGTGGCTGGCTTTACACTCATTTGCAGATGGGGAAAGAGGTTCAGAGAGGTGAACGGACATGCAGAAGGCAACCTGAGTGCAGACAGGATGTATGAACTCAAGGCTTGCCTCTGCCAGTGTTCCTGCACTGACCAACCCCCGCCCCCTGACCCCACCATGTACTGGCACAACACTTTGGTGTCAACTGAAGGGGGCGGACTGATAGTTGGCGATTGGTCTCTACTTCCCCCTGGTGGTCATGTTCCTATTTGCAGGCTACCTCACTTTTGTCAGCCAGAACTTCAGTCCTGCTCCGGACCCCAGTTCTCCCCAGCCGTACACCCCTCTTCCGGCCTCAGTTCCCCTTTGTTTGGAATGGCCCTCCAAAGCCGCATGTTGAATTCTAGTCTGAACCCTGCCCATTTCACAGTGAGCTCAGAAGTGAAAATTACCTTCAACCCTCACCCAAAGATAATTACTTGGTTTATCCTTCCCGCTCATGTTTGATTTATTTTACTTATAGAAATGGATATAGTACACTACCTTGTAATTTGCTTCCTCACTCAAGTGTACTCTCTATTTCCCCATGTCAATAAATATAGATCTGCATCATTTTTTAATGGTTTCATGGTATTCCATTATATTGATGTTCTACAATTAGAAATATTTATGTCATCAGAGCCAGGAAGTCCTTGGAAAGGTAACTGTATGTATATCCTTGGGAAAGTGTGTTTAGGGGGAGACTCTCAGGGTTTGGAAGGAACTACAGCATAGTGAGGCCCATGGGCTATGAACTTTCTGTAGATTTCAGTTCTGACGCCATCGTTAACTGGCTGAGGGACTTGGGGAAAATATTTAACCTCTGAATTTTCTCATCGATAAAACGGAAATACTAAGACGGTGTTGATATTGTTGCAAATGTCAACAGTGCTAATGTGCGCAAAGTACTCAGCACAACGCTGAGCAGGCAGCAGTAATACCTTGTCATGACACAGCAATACCTTGTCATGACACAGCGACCTTAGCAGTAATCAACTCCAGCATTTCTCTAAACTGGCTCATCATCAGAGGCACTAGGAGGCTTTAAAACAAAATATAGAGATTTCTAACTTGGTCAAGTGCAAAGGGTAAAGGTAGGGAGAAACACCTCTTCTGCTGTAGGATCTAAGCTCATTCATTAAAAAACACATGAGAGTACAATAAGTGTTGAATGAATGTATAATAAAAGAAACTAGCATTTGTAGTAAATTCCTCCTGCATTCCAGGATCTGTGTTAAGTCTTCACAAATAGCTCAGGTAATCCTCATAACAAGTCTAGAATGTGGATACTCTTACCCCATTTTATAGGTAAGGAATGAGAAACAGTGTCAACAAGGTGAAATCATTTCCAAGAACAAGAAGATCAGGTCATCTGACTGCAAACCCTGCATTCATACGTTCAACAAACACTTTTTATGAGCCTGGGCTGGTGCAGCTCAGTTGGTGGGGTGCTGTCCTGTGCACTGAGAGACCACTGGTTAGATTTCTGGTCAGGGCACATGCCTGGGTTGCCACTCCATTTCTGGTAGGGAGTGTGCAGGAGGCAGCTGACAGATGTTTCTCTTTCTTTCATCGATGTTTCTATCTCCCTCGCAGTTCCTTTCTCCCTAAAATCAATAAAAACATATTAAAAAACAAATATTTATGATATGCCTACTATGTGCTAGGCACAAAGCAAAAATTTCTGCCTTGCAGAGCTTGCATTCTTGCAGGGAGAGACAGACAAATAACTATATATATAAAAGTCTAATATGTAAAGTGTCCCCTCAGGAGTTCAACTGGGAGTTCAATTGCTCGCTATGACATGCGGTGATCACCAGGGGGCGGCGCTGAATGAAGGAAGGCCCCGGCCAGCAGCCCAAGGCCCTGATTGGCTCTGATTGGTGGCCAGGCCTAGGGACCCTACCTGTGCACGAATTTCATGCACCAGGCCTCTAGTGTAATAAGTAAACTGCATAATGTGCTACAAAGTGTAAGTGCTACCAAAAAACAACAACAACAAAAAAAAAACAGAGTAAGGGGGAAGTGGGAGTGATTATTTAAAAATATTTTTTTTGGTAGTAATTTTAAAAAAAGCAAATCAGAGTAGGCCTGTTTTAGCAGGTGATATTTGAGCCAAACTGTGATGGAGGTGTCACACATGTGGATATAGACAAGGAGCCTTCCAGGAAGAGGGAACAGTTGGTGTAAGAGCCCTCAAGGGGCACATCGTCTGGCTGGAAGGGAATGAGTCAGTAGAAAAATAGGAGATGAGATTATAGGAGTAGAGGTGGAGAGTGGATGATGTAGCCAAAGCATGTCAAACTCAAAGGCTAACACGAGCCAAATAAACAAGGTTTAAGTTTATGTGGGCTGCAAAAAAACAAAAGTTTCAATTTTCATAGAAACATAGGTTTATTTCGCTAGAGACATGCTGAATAAAAGGGCTGAAATAAATGAGTAACCATTAACATAAAATAATAGAACATTTTAATAAATATTTTTTCTTGAACATGAACTTACCGGACACTGAATAACTGAACAAATTAATAAGGGTAACGCAGATAAACCTATTTTCTTGTTCTCCGAAAGCGAAATATTTCCTGTTGCGCACACCAAACAAGTCAGTCCAAGACTAATGAGGTGGCCACCGGCTGCTAAAATATTCGCTGCTAGTATTAGTGGACAGAAATGGTGCACCTGTGCGTAAGGCAGGGAAATGAATGCAACACGATGATAGTAATCAGTCATTAGCGAACGTTGTAGTTCGTTATTAATAATTAAATATAACAGGATATTGTTATGAAATTTTTATTAAAACGTTTCTTACATACCGTTATATTGGCTGGGCTGCAAAAATATTCGTTGTGGGCTGCAAACGGCCCGCGGGCCGCGAGTTTGACATGCTTGATGTAGGGTCTTGTAGGCCAGTTAAGTTTTAATCTTTTTACTTTGTGGGAAATGGGAAGCCTTTGAAGAATTTTGAACAGATGAGGAAATGATCCGACTGTTCTATTTACTTATTTTTTGATCCGACTGTTTTAAGTGATCCCTCTGTTTGGTAGGGGAAGGACACACTATAGAGGGGACAGGGACCATTCTGTTTCTAAGGCCTGTGCAACGTCATCCTCTAGTTTGCGACCTGCCAGGGGTCGGGGAAACGGACCGGACCGGACCGAGTCCACAGATTCAAGCGCCTTCGCAAAGCAGCTCCAGCCCAGCAGAGGGAAGCAGCTCGCAGAGAGCGCCTGCAACCCCAGGCAGCGTTTCCTTAACTTCCTATTTGAAGGCGGCTTCCTGTAGGCTGGAGTGGCAGCTGTGTCATCCAATGGCTGCCTGCGTTCCTTCTGCCTCGCCAGACAGGCGTCGGCGCCAGCCAATAGGTGGGGGTGCTGTCTAAGGCTTCTGATTGGCTGCTTCGTTTCCTTATAAAAGGGGCGCGCCGGCGCACGGTCTTCCTCTCGCCAGGCGTCCTCGTGGGAGGTTCGTGTGGCTGCCGAATGGCGCCGGGGGCTGGCGGCGGGAAGGATGGGCGTCTTTGCGGGGCAGCTGGGAGGCCGCGGGGTCCAGGCTTATGCGGCCCGGGGCTGCGGCCGAGGCTCGCGCTCTGCCCGCGGTGGCCGCGCAGCCAGGCCAGGCCGGCGGGCTCCGCGCGCGGCCTGCTCCGTGGATAGGCCTCGGGTTTGAGGCCGGCGGGCGGTGGGCGCGGGATGCTTGAGCCTCCTCTCTCTTCCCAGTGACATCGTCTTTAAACCCTGCGTGGCAATCCCTGACGCACCGCCGTGATGCCCAGGGAAGACAGGGCGACCTGGAAGTCCAACTACTTCCTTAAGATCATCGTAAGTGCGGGGTGGACCGCGGCCGCCATCGTGCTCCTCTGCCACGGGCTAAGGGCCGTCAGCTCCCAGGTGCCGGGCTGCTGAATCGGGCCATTTTAGGCAAATCTCACTGAACCTTTCAGGATTTCCAAAGGTCTGCGTGCCACCCCCACCTGTTGCAGATACACAGGCTCGGGCAGTTACTGGCTCCCAAGAGCTAAGTGGCATTAATTCATTCCCAGGTCTGTCTGGCATTCAGGTAGCGCTCATCATACTCTCACTTCTCTGCTCCCATCTTTGGGAAGGCGAGAGGCAGTGAGTGACTCATAAAAAGTCAAGTTGGTGCACATTCAGGCCCTGCCAGTCAAGAAACCCAAAGTCTAAATGAATGCTCCCATTACGAAGGCCTTGGGGTGGGTCCTCCCTGCTTAACAGGATGGTACAATAATCCCACACCCACAACCCAGATTTTACAAGTAGGGTTTTGTTGTATTTGCTTTATGTCGTGTTTTGAGCGCTGTAAATCCAGCCTTATGTGGAATGTTTTTGCTGTTAAGTCATTTTAGTGAGTCAGAAACATATCTCATAATTGGGAAATGTTAAAAAATGAGAGCTAAAATTAAAATTTTTCTGATTGAACGTACCAACCCAGTTTTTACTATCCATACTCAGCAAGCAAATCTTTGACAAATCTGTCAGTGTTACGACCCAGGTGGCTCCTGGGGGAGGAGTTGGCCCAATGTGAGTCACTTCAAAAGCATAGAAGAAAGGGAGTGAGATGGAAACCAGCCATTGTGGGGTTGCTTTCTCTTGATTTTTAAAAATTTTTGTTTATTAATTGATTTTTAGAGAGAGAAGCATCAGTTTGCTCTTCTTATTGATGCAT